TTACAAAGTTTCAATGGGGCCCGCGAAGACAGTTACCGCCCCAGATTCGCGGCGAAGCGGCCGAGATGAACGTTAGACGCTTCGCTAACTGTAAAGACAGAGTTAACTCTCCTTATGAACGGCGTCTAACTTTAATTGATGCTACAGTTTAACATGAAAGCTAGCTTAACTTGGCTTAACTGTCTTGGCTAAGTTAAGAAAGTTGTATTACAGACCCACCACGATACCGCTCTGGTTGAAAATTAAGTTCTGTAAAACTATTTCAACTAACTATTTCAGCAATATTATGATAATGGTAAGTTTTCGCTTATCGAACAATTACTCCAACATCCGAATATAAATAGATATTTGGCGACATATTTTTACACAACGTAATCTAGTATGAAACTAACTGGGCACTAGGTAACGGATAAACATACTTTTCTAATCAAATCAAATCAAAAATATATTTATTCAAATAGACGCTTGCGCGTTCTTATGAAACGTAAAATTTAACATAAAAAATTAATACATATTATGTAAATAAATACATATTATAGATATATAGACACGAACGTACTGGGAAAACATTATGTTCATCACACAATATTTATGCAGTAGTGGGGATTGAACCCATCCCACTCTGGCGCAGGAGATAAGGTCATCAACTACGCCAATGTACGGCGACAAGTTCGTCAGTTCACACAATGTTAAGCCCGTCACATATCCTTCATGACAGATCCATGGGCTTCAGCTGACTACGCCCGGAAATTATTTCAGGACTTTCAATACGTAATAATGTGGGTAAGTAAGACTGAATTGTTGCCACAGAAGCCGGCACTGCAATATGTTCTGGTACGGGAGCGGGGCTGCCCACGACATGGTCCCCCCCCACCAAGTCACGAGCCGAGGCCGTTAGATGGGTTCAAAGCCCCGGTTCGGACGGGCCGACGCTCGAGCGACTGAAATCGCTCCGCTGAGAGCGCGATAACAATGCAACGCCCGCGAAAACGCGTCATTCTCGCGGACCCAGTGATCGATGAGATTTCATATCATTCTATAGGGTTGCTATATTAGGGTCCATCTTAAATATCGGTAGCGAGCACATCACTATATATTATACAATGTTACCATAGATAAATGATAAAGGTAAATGGTAAATAAGTTCTGTTCATCTTAGTTTGGATATACCCCTCACAATATAATTTACACATTGCAAATGTTAAATTACGACAGGTTCACCGAGTCTTGTTTCGAAAGTTGATATAAAAAAGTTGAAGCTATCTTACCCCTTTGAACGAACAATTCATAATCATTTCTACTAGCATCGCGATGTAAGCGTTAACATTCGGCAATTCATAAAAATTTAAATACCTATGTCATTGAATGAAGAGTAATAATTACCATTGTCAATTTGTCATAAATAAATATTTTAGGACACATTTTTACACGACTTCTCTAATCTCAAACTGCCTCAAGACTGTTTATAACACAAACTAAAATCCCCCGTAACGTTTCCAGAAGGAGTCGATTCGAAATCGGGGAATTATCTCGAATACATTTCTTCACACGTATAAATTTGCAAACGCCTGCATGTCCGCAAATAAAACGTGATCTAATCATTCAGATCATTCGAGTAATGTCACCCAGATGCATGTCAGTTTCTAGGTCACGAAGGCTCCATGGAATTGATACCGGATCTTGACTCATGAAAAGCTTGGAGGCCTAACTTTATGACCCTACTTAATTGTTAAATAACAAGACTTTTTTTTTATGTTGAAAAGTTGTCAAGTATGCCGGGTGGTTCAAATAATGTTGAACGAATACCGCCGCCCATGGCTGATGCGAAGGCAACCTTCAAAAAGTCACAAAAGGCCACGCAACAGTGCTGGCTGTTGCACGAATGGGAAAGTCCGTCTGCTTTAGTACCACGACCTCACAGAAGACCAGAAGTGTTACACTTCTGCGTTTCGTCGGGTGAGTGTGGTAACCGGGGCCCACATTATTAAAAGGTGGCAACACATCTGCAACCAGTGTTGAAATTTCCGTGGGCGGTGGTTATCAGGAACATCAGGTGAACGCCAGCTCGTTTGCCACTTTCTCACATAAAAAAAACCTCACTCATTAAATGAAACGCGAAAGTTTAATGCTTCCCGCCCGTCTTCTGTGAGGCCGTGGTACTTCCCCGGACGAGCCTGCCCATTCCTGCAACAGAAGCTATTGCGTGGCCATACCGCAGAAAGACAGGCCATTTTCTCATATTACTAATATACATAGAAGTGATAATTAGTCAGTGTCATAACAATCATCAGAAACAAAAAATAGATAGTTTCCATTCCTAGTTTCATAATAACTACCACTGCGGAATGTAAGACCGTGTCGCATAAAAGGCCTTAACTAATAGAGATAACTTAAATTGTGATCCAACGAAATAGGGAAAAAGAAAGAAGGCAATTCGCTAGAGAAAACACCCAAATGGACCCACGCGAAGCGGTCGAAAAAACACAGCACACCCGAATTAATTCGCGAGGTAACTATAGACTTTTGACGGGCGAGTTGCATTTCGCGATCGCCAATTAAACCGTATACTAGTCTGCCACTCAGAGACGGCGGACGGTCGAAAAAAGATGAAGCCTCGTTACAAAGTGGTCACCAGCGCGTGACGTGCGCGTCTCGTTGCGCATGGCGGCTGACGGTGCTGACCATCGGCCCCATTCGGGTTAATTGCCGGTAACAAGACTTTAGGTAGATAAAGCCACCTCCATTTGTCCGTTAGCGCCTTTCTATCGCCAAACTGAGAGGTAATTAAAAATAATTTTATTCAACTATAATCAGTTCACCGGTCGAATATACGACGATGCCGGAATATCGTTTGAACTACGCCCAAAAGAATACAGATCGTCGATCAGTCAGGCATTGATTAGCAAAATAACTCATATTATAAAAATTACTAAAACCCCGAATATCATCCACTCGTTCGAATTAAAATACAGCGTGTGCAAATAATCGATTAAAAATAACTAGCAGATTAAAATATACTCGTAAAATGACTTATCATGTCATCGTCTGTTACGAATTTAATGGATTTTGGAAACGCGTTTTGATTTTATTTAGAAAATTAACGGAACATTAAGGCATTGCGAAACATTAATACCTAAGTCTCTATTAAATACGTTTAACAAGACTAACTAACTTTTAAATAGTAACAAAATAATGCGAAATTGGCCCTTAAGCTATAAATACGAAGGATTGCGTGTTTTTTATATTCTTGTTTTTCATTCTTTAAGGCCCATTTACACGGTGCAAGTTTCTTGCCTGTTATATACAATTAAATTGAAGCAATAAATGAGTTGCATTGTCTAAACAGCACATAACATTCTTGACTGTTGAACAAGACCTGCTTCAAGTTTTGTTTCAAAACTTTCCTTGGTGTAAACAGCACACACAATAATTTCTTAAGCAATTCTTGTATTCAATTGCATTCTCTCTTCCTTTGCAAAAATTAGTGCAATGAGTGACGGTATTTAATCATTGCTGTTCTTTTGAGGATAGAAATATTGAGAAAAGGTCGTAAAAAAGTTTGGATAAAAATATGATTAATAATATATGGATCATAATAAATAAATCTCAATGAAATATATTTAATCGGCATAATCTAACTTGAACACTTATTATTGAGCCATTTTTAAAAAAAACAGCCATTTGTAAAACGTTCAACACTTGCATGAAAAATTTGTCAACGCAAATACGTGCAATACTTGAAGCAACACGCCAATAAATTGTACACGCACATACAAGCATGTGTTTAGACAAGTCAAAACTTGAAAGCAATAATCGCCTAAACATAATTGCATTGGTGTAAACAAAAGACCTTTGCAATTATTTCCTGTCAAGACTTGCATTCAATAATCGCATTCAATTTTTTTTACTATATCTGCGTGTAAACTGTTGCTTACAATTCTTGATGGTCTATTATTGCGTGCAACTTATTGCATTCAATTATTGCTCTTGTATGTACAAGAAAATGGCATCGTGTAAATGGGCCTTAACTTTACCGCGACAAACGAAGTCCATACGCGGGGTTGACTTGAGTAGAATATGCTTATATATCGTTAATTTCAAAATTTCATTTTGTTTTTGGCTCGACCTTAACTTACTTTTACTTTGATCAAAGCGAGAAAGTATACGTTAGTGCTTTTATAAATACCCAGTATTCTACTCTCATGCTCAATCTCCTTATAAACCTTACTGTCAAATATATTAACTGACCGTATAAAGCAAGCTATTGAACCACAATGCGCTTACGGTTCGTTAATTTGCTAAATCAAGCGTTAAATTTAGTCATTGCTCTACAGGTCAATTAAATTCGTAGCAGATCATTAAACCTCCATACAGATGGACAAGACCAAAACTTTATTTTCGATAGTAATTATTCGGAAAAAAAATATTTGTTAGATGATTATAGTACAAAATTATATCTAGATATGAATAGGTCTGGAAAAAAAAGTTCAGTAACTCTTCTCCACAGTTTTAGTATTATCGTTAAACACTTTTTTATTGCAAATATATTAACTTATATCAGTTAAATCAATGAAAAATTTTAAAATTTTAAATATATAACAATTATGGTAGAATAACTAAGACCATAAATCCGAACACTGCTAAGAGTAAACAAAATATATCATTACGATCCAGTAGTATGTTTGTCAGTTAGACTACTATCGAGCAGTCGGTACAAACAAATCCCTACTTGGAACAAATTAAGCGAGGCAGTTATCTATTAGACTAACAGGCCGTTGATTAACATGACATGGTGAGCTCTCACCTCAGCGCTGTAGCAATCGATGGATGCGGCAATATTAAATAAATTTTTATCGAGAAATATTTAGTGTTGCTATACATTAAGTAGTACCAACTAATGGTTCCTTCAGCATTGTGTTTCGAGTATATTTATATATAGCGTAATTTTTTAATTTCTTTGGACTGTTAGGAATACAAATATATTTCGTAAATAATGTTACCTGAAATATGTAGACTGCAGCGGAGAAAGTGCGAAACGTTTATCTGAAATCAAAACATATTTTACTGTTAGTTCGTAAATAACTATTAAAAATACGAGTATACTTTTTCAACAGTTTTTACAGAAAACATGTAAAACAAATATGTATCCAGAATGTAAACAGTTTTTTTTATTGGTGTAGTTAAATACATCGACAAAACTTATCCTAGGATAGGCAAATCAAACAGACAGGTGAATCACATAAGCAAGAATATCTCCTTTTGGCATATTTAATAAAATTTAACACAATTTACCTTATGATAGAAGTGTTTTCAACGACACTATCACAGCGTAACCATAAAATAAAATAGTATACTTTTGAAGGAATGCCGCATCCAATCTGAGCAGAGACGCTTTCGTGATTCCGCGGCGCGTCTATTTTAATAGTCGACGGACGGCGTCTTCTGACGACGGCGCCAGTAACGCGCGCTTGGGATAGGTCTTTGTTTGATTAAATTTACATCCAGTCTTAGGGACTATGTTTAGCTTCGAAGGCCAGTGGGATAGGTCCAGCGGAATGTTCCACGGCGGCCATTACGCGGATTAATAGCCGCTAAATTAACCGTCACTCGACGACCCGAATGGCGTAGTGGGTGCCTCTTGCGCCAGAGAGTGTGGGTTCGATCCCCACTACTGGAAAACTATTGTGTGCTGTACATAGTGTTTTCCAGCGGCTGCGTAATATATGTATAAGGTGTAACTATTTACAAAGGAAAAGTATGTTTGTATGTTTATGAGTTATCTAGTACCCATAGTACAAGCGTTACTTAGTTTGTGACTAGAGAACGTTGTGTAAAAATGTGTCCTAAAATACGCATTATTATTATTTCTACGAGGATTGGTAGTTGTACAATAAGGTATAGATAGGCATGCGCTGGCAATGTGTGGTAAGATGAACTCGGACCTTTTGTATCTTTAGGATATTTACTGTAACACGTGCGATTATCCAGTTATTATACGTAAATATGTTTACAGAAAATGATACAATTGATCAGGACGAAAGTACATAGGACGAAATATATCTTAAACACGCAACTACAATAAAATATCTATGACTTTGACACATATCAAGTCCAATGCAAAGTTAGAAAAGTTTCATTTGAAATTTTAATTTATGTTGATATTGTTTTGTCATTCATTTTTTTACAGTTTTTTAATTATTTAGATTTGTTTAAAGAAATTATGTACTTTAATTTGTTTCTTTAAAGCATATTATTTACGTGTACAGGTTGAACATTCGCTTATGGATAATGAAGTCTTATTTCTCATATTCACTGTTCAAGTGTATGTGGAATGTGTGAATTATTATCAAATTAATCAACAATAAATTATCAAAACCAAATAAAAAATAAAATATATATGTATATCGAAAAGAAAAAAAGCAGAGTATTTGGCACTTAAAATATATATGCTATAAAAAATTAGAATTTGCTAATGCCAAGCCGCCATTTCTGTTCTTCACTGTATTCCACAAAACCATAACTGTGTTGTCTGCGACCGTTCCTGGCAATGGCCGATCAGGATCGAATCGGAACAGTCTGGACTTTTTACCGATTGAACGTGAACTCAGACGGAGCCGCGGGCGGAGGCTAGTTATGAAATAAGAGCATCCACCAATGAGTCACGAATCTGTCGCTGGCGCAGCTGCATGCGGCGCGGTGCGACGGAATGGAAAAAAATAAAACGAAATAGACGGCGCGCGACCTTGACACTGGCCGGCCGTGGCGCGCGGTGACAACGCCGCACCGGCATTAATGCGGGACATTGGTGTTTTTTGTGAGAAGGCACGGGGTATACCGTTTTTACTTATTTTTCTTGTCACTCTAAAGAAGTATGACTTACGTGCGTATATAAGTACACTCACACACACACACACACACACTTTATTATTTAAGGAGATGGTTAATGAGCTGACGGTTAGCGGACATTTGCAAAACAGTAGGGTTGCAGACGATTGTAAACAAAACATTGGAGGCCGTGAGACATGGAAATTATTTGCCTTACTATTTTATCTACACAGTCAAAACTGAAGCTTTCAAAACATTCTAATTCAGCACTTCAGTCGCTAACTTGCCACTGTCTTTTTTTTATTTTATTAGCGATTTCGTATAAAGCCAAAGGTTATATTAGTTGACGGCTTTGCAAAATGTTAGGGACAAAATTTGTGTTCTGCAGTATGTTTCATTTTTTACACCAAAACGGGCCAGTTGAATGTCATGGATTCGCTTTCGTCTTCATAACACATTAGACTCGGATATAGTTATAAGAAAAATTATATTATGTTAGCTAACATGTTTTTCCTCAACATAAATTGCCGCCCTCGTGGTCACCCTACAAGTAAGCAACGCGGCGCGGCCGTGCTATGAATAAAACCCTAACGAACGCAATTTCGCCGAAGAAGTGGAATTCCTAAAATTGCCGCATCCAATTTGCGCAGGCCGACTCCTTGATTTATAACATTGTTGCACATATTGTTTTCTTGATTTTACGCGAATATTATACATATTAAATGAAACTACTTTACGCTCTGGTATTACCAGAATTAAAGAACACATAGCTGACGTGAAGCACCGACGGTTGAAGAAGTCTGCAGTTTGTGATCATATTTTAGACCGCCCCAACCACTACATTAGATTTGATCAACCGAAAATCCTCGCAAAAGAACACCGATTCCTTCCAAGGATGATCCGCGAGGCTATTGAAATAAAGAAACATCCTAATTTCAATAGAGAAGATGGTTGGAGTTTATCATCTGCTTGGGATCCCATAATTTATAAAATTAAATCCAAGCACACCAACACTGCCAGACCTCAAGATACCATAAGCTCCTTCTGCGTGGATCGGAATAAAAATAAAAAAAATAATTGACGGTAGCCGGGGTTAACTATGACATCAAGACGTCTAACAACTTAGTCTGTCCCGTGACCATGAACGCTGGAAAGGGTTCGAAACGTCGGGAATTTAAATTAAAATAAAAAACGCGATAAAATCCGTGAAGTAGTTTCATTTAACATTGTTGCACAGTTTAAATGCTGGAAAATGTAGGTATTTCTTCTTTAAACAGGCTCGAGGTAGTCAGTTTTGAATACATTTTTATTTAATTGGTGTATTGTGGTATTTTTAAAGTGGTAGGGCCGCGTAAAAGCTGCCGTTGCACGAAATGGCAGGCTTGTTGGGGAAATTACCACGGCCTCACAGAAGACCAAAGTGATGTGAAAGTGTTATGCTCTTCAGTGGCGTATGGTGAGTGTGAATGAAATAGAAAGTGTATAGTGAGAGAGATTTGAATTTGGTTTTGTTTTTTGTCAATAATAATAACTTGTATTTCTAAACCATGAGGACTATTACGCCGCAGAAAAACAACCAGAACCAATGTTTCGAGTTTACGGATATGTCTACACAATTAGTTGCAGCAGCACGTACATTAACAAGCTATTGTACGCGACGTGTCGTTTCCGACCCTCGATGACACTTGTACATAAAGTCTCACATTTGTTGTGCACGGTGCACACTGGTCTAATAGAACGGTTAGTGGACAGCATTTGCTGTGTCGGTTCCTTAATTTTGATGAAAACAGCTCATTATAGTGAGCTGCCCCACAGAAAACCATGTACGAAGAGAAAGCATTTAAAATGGACTTCGTCAGGGATACGTCAGGGAAAGAAATAGAAAAAGTACTGTTAGGAAGAAAATTTGAACTTTCTATTGTTTTAAGGGTTCCGTACCCAAAGGGTGAAAGTGGACCCTATCATTAAGATTCCGTTGTCTGTCTATCAGTCTATCACCAGACTGTATTTCATGAACCGTGGTAGTTAGACAGTTTAAGTTTTCACAGATGATGTATTTCTATTGACGCTACAATAACAAATAACGGAATAAAAAATATTTAAGTGGGGCTCCCATACAACAGACAAGATTTTTTGTATTTTTTATAGACAATGTACGGAACCTTTCGTGCGTGAGTCCGACTCGCCCTTAGCCGGTTTTTAAAAACGTACTTGTCGCGTTTCATCGGTTGTGAAAACTGCCCACGCAATACTTGTAAGCGCATCTACAACCCCACAGGCGTTGTGTACGTTCGTGGTCCTCGGTTATCAGTTAACGTCACGTGACACCTTCCCGCATTTCACTACCGACTGGCCACCCTACCCTGAACGCGCCGCGCATCCCAAACGCGCGACGCCCGCCGCGTTACAAACCATTATTTCACTTTCAAACGATAAACGAACGGCAATAGCAGTTTTATAAATAGCTCAGTCGATAGTTAATCGTTGGCCCTCCGACGATTCGGCCCGAAACGGTGTAGACAGGAACCAAACCAAACAAGATGGAAATGCCGTCGGCTTCCAGCTGTAAATTAGCGAAGAACTGATGAAGCTTTTAAAGTCCATCTCACGTCCAATGAAGACAGTTTAGGATAGTGATAGAGAAGAGCTAAATACAGCATTGCATCCATTTGTATTTACCAAGTCAGGTGAAGATTAAATGGGAGATAAATTTCTGCATTTCTGTTAAACGAACGCAGTTCTAATTTAGTATTTTCGTATTAGTTTTAATTTAGATGAAAATGTGAATTTGCAACTTTAAATGCTGACCTATCAGTTGATCTGCAGTGAAGGAAACTCTCGAGAGTAATCCCGCATATTTACGAAACAATAGAATAGAAAAAAACGAAAGATAATTATGCAAAGATTATACCTTAATGCTCTCTGTATAGCCTCCCAGCGTTGGGACATATAGGCTGTTAATTTATTAGGACCACAACGGATGCTTTAGTTTACCAAGGGCGGCGATAATCACTCATCAGGTGAAGGTATTTTGGTCTTCTCGTTTCGTCTCAAGGAGTCTAGCCTGTTGCGTTTAGGGCTATAATGAATTCCCTATCTAAATAGTCTACATTGTAGTACGTATTCTGTTTGTTTGTTGTCCATCAGCGGCACTAAAGCATCACGCAAATAGCGCGCCGTGCAGCTAAGCACACTCAGCGGCGAGGCATCCCAGAGGGCGCCCGAGTGCAGTCTAAAATTACCCGCGACTGCCGACCCTTATGCAGTTCGGGACGATAATGTGCACCTTGAGTAAACATTAACAGTTAAGCACTAAGAAAGCATAATCAGAGAGCAGTTCTCCTTTCGATAAGTCTTAATTTGTACATCGTTTGCAGGTTTTGAAAGCCTTCATGGGATATAAATTCAAATATCTTTATCCAACATTGCATCACACTACAATTGAAGAATGTCGTTCCTACCAAAAGATGAATTATTGAAATCCGACGTGGTAAAAAATTATCGCAGAAAATACACAAAAATAACAACGAATTGATAACAACAATTTTGACCGGTAAAATTATCTAAATAACTTATAAGGCGACTCACAGATAACTTATGCAATACATATTCCTGTGGAAAGTGAACCCATTATCGTTGGCAAAGAGCTCTTATCGATGCCTACCAAGCAATCCAATTAGTAAGCATACTAATAAATATAATTTATTCATCTTAGGCTAATATGAAAGAAAAATTTATTTCGACCTTATCTAAGACAAGCGTCCTTTGTACCGAAACATCTGAGTCATGTCTCTGAAAGTACATAAAAGCTGTTCAAACATTACAAGCAAATATGCGATTGTGATCACTAACCCGTGCACGAAAGGGTCAATTTTGTATGCTGCTATCAAAGTTTAAGGCTCACAATGATATTGTAGCATCATCACTTTCTTTTGGAAATTATTTTATAGTACGCGGCTCGTTTATTGGGTCGAGCGTTAGTCATCGGTGGTCATTGAAATTTCACAACGCGTATTAATAAAAACAAATCTCAATCTTTATTCAGAAGCATTGGTTTTTTTTCTTCGACTGGCCAGCGCTTGACTGCCATCCCACCAATCCATGTCGGTGAGTGGCGATGCAGCCATTGATAGTAAACGCGCCAGCTCAGTATTATTTGGTCTCGCCGTTGGATGAAATTTAAGATGAAGTCTCTACTACACACGATATTGCGATAGATTTTACCTGTCAAGTTTAGGACAAGCTCAGTGGAATATCGACAGTTCTATTAGACCTCGGAATTGTTAAAAGTTGCGAGCGCTGGCGTTTATAGTTGTGTAGTCACCACAGGTACTTTATTTAAGTCCGAACTTGGCAACCAAAGGCGCGTATCGCGGCAGTTAAACTTCAATTATCAAGAGCGTGCGTTCGGACCTCAGCCTTGTGCGACATAATCGATTTTCTTTTGGTGATTCATTGCATTTGTATACACCTTAATTGCGTCCGGTTTCCATCGTAGCCGCTTACAAAAGCAAAGTAAAAGTTAACTAACAACACATACATATTCCAAGGCTGGGCAAAGGCAATCTGTACAGAGGATTAAAGCATAGTCCTCGACGCGACCACACTGCCACCAGACTTCACGTCTTCTAAATATTTTTTATTATTTCGAAATTATGCAGCTCAATTTTCACGATGTTTTCCTTCACCGTTGAAAATCACTTGGATAAGTCATTACTTAAAATTAACAACGTGGGATCTTGGGATCTGAACTCAGATTGCTTGAGTACATTGAGTTAAATACGAGCGCCCGGACACTTTGTTATCACGGCTCACAAAGCATGTTTTTAAATCTAAGACGTAAAGCTGATTTTGACTCATTTTAGACTCTTAAAAAGGGTTGGCAATAACGTATCGATATATGTTGTTTGTCATATTATCCCGATAGATAGAGCTGGTGTTGAATTCTTGAAGACAGAGCCTATATGAAGTCCATAAT